AGTTCTTTTGCCTCAAGTTGAGGCAGCTCAGGAGGTATCCAAGTCCACACCTTCCTCCAAGCTAGGGAAACACTCTATGGCTCCCCAAGGCCTGTGAACTATGGGAAAGTGGCCTCCATTCTCTCTCAGGAGCCTGTAGTCACGATGCTGTGTCAGTCACATCAGGGCTGACATGGGGAATTTTGCATGACTGTGTCATGAGCAAAGGTCTGGACAAGCCACATAGACAATTCCTTACTGAACCCAGAAAGAACAAGGGCTCTTGGGTCATGTTGCTTTGCTGGGCTGTGTGCAGGGACTAGAGACACCATTTTCTGTTCTCCCAGATCCTCAAATCTCCCTGTGGTTTTTTCATTCTGTTTTAGCCATTGTCTTAGCTTGAGGGAACGGGACAAGGAGTCAGTCCTTATGGGGCTCCACAGTGTCCCTCAGAAGTTCTTCATCCCAGTCTTCCTCTCTGGGTGTCACCGAGCCAGCAGGCTGGGAAACCCACTCTTCTTCAACTCCATGCCTTTGGTATCACATCTGGTTCTGAGCAATTCAATGCTAAGAGGCTTCGGTCTCTGGTCTTTGGTTTCTTGGTCTCAGGCCCCACTTCTGAGGCAAGGGCAGCAGAATGCCCAGTGCCCCAAAGGGAAGAGTGTGGGTGTCATCAGAAAGACACATCAGCAATAGCTCAGCACCATCCCCTGCCCTGAGAGCCACCACAGGACCCACCAAGGACCCACGTGGCAGGGAGAGGTGCCTGCACTCTGCCCTGTACTTGGACTGCACGTGTCCTTCATGGGCACGCTCTTGGACCCATCTTCAGTCCCGAGGGTACTGCAGGATCAGCTGTCATTTCAAGGGTCATTGATTACTCCCTGTCTTTCCTTCAGGATATGGTGAGGTGAGCTCAATGGCCGTAGTGTCCTGACTGTCCTTTTCCTTTCCAGGGAGGTTTTGCGGCGATAAGGTACCTGAGCCCCTCGTCTCCTCAGACAGCCGGCTGTGGGTGGAATTTCGTAGCAGCAGCAGCATCCTGGGCAAGGGCTTCTTTGCAGTATATGAAGGTTTGTTCTTGATGGAGAGGCCAGGCAGATGGCCACTGGCAAGTGTCTGTCCTTCTAATGCAACCCGGTTCCTTCCCAGGTGTACAAAGCAGCTTGCTAGAGGGTCAAGCTCTTGTCACAGGGTCCAGGCTGAGTACCGCACACTGCTTCTGTCACATTGGACAGGCAAAGGCCAGGTGTGCTGGGCTCAACCGCTGTCACAAGCCCACTGAGTTCTCTTCTCAGCCCAGGTGGGGTATGGATGGTGTCAGGGTAGAGTCCTGTAGAGATGGCAGTGGCCTCTGACCACCCGTGAGGGCTCTTGCTTCATCGGTGAAAAGAAAACCTGGTACTACCCGGAGGTCCCTGTTCATGTATGAGGACTGTAAGATCACCCCGAGGGCCGCTTCCGTGTGTTTTAACTCTCCCATCTCACAAAGGAATGGAACTAAAACGTGTCAAAGTCCCCCTCGCCTTGAATCATTGAAAATTTGGCGAACCCAAAATTTTATTTCATAAAAGAAATTGTGAACACATCTGCGCTTGCACGTGTGTGTCTGCATGCTCAGAAGTGTGTGTGTGTGTGTGTGTGTGTGTGTGTGTGTGTGTGTGCAAGCACATGAATTCTCTACAGCACCACCTTCTCCAGGCCCACCTGAGTAAGACTCTGAGGATGTGGCAAGGCTCCCACAATTGGAATGATTCCCCCATGGTTCCGATGTGCAGAGGGTACTATATGGCTATCTAGAGTTGAAACTCTCGGGCTTTAAAGGTGGGCTTTGTTAGACCCAGATGAAAACCCTGGCTCTTGGAGCCACCTAGTGGCAATAAGTAGCCACTCACCTGCATTTGTTAGACGTGGCCACAGACCAACCCTCTTTTTCATACGTTCTTTCTAAAGCCATGTGTGGGGGAGACATTACCAAAGACGCTGGTCAGATCCAGTCCCCCAACTACCCTGACGACTACAGACCTTCCAAGGAATGTGTGTGGAGGATCACAGTGGCAGATGGGTTCCACGTGGGACTTACCTTCCAGTCCTTTGAGGTGAGCCCTGCTGGGATGTTTTCCTAAGAACGAGTGGGAGCTGATGGGTACTCCATGCGCTCTACAAAGACTGGTTCTTATAGCTCCACAGAGATACTGAAATTGCAATGCTCAGGAGGCTGAGGCAGGAGGAAAGTGAGTTTGGGGCCAGACTGGACTATGTAGTGAGACTTTGTCTCAGCAAACAAACAAACAACAAACAAACAAACAAACAAAACAACAACAAAACACAAAAATACCAGAAAGGACTGGGGATGGGTCTGGGGGGATGGCTCAGTCAGTGAAGTGTTTTCTTGTCTTGCAGGCATGAGGCCCCGAGTTTGGTCCCAAGCACTCATTTTAAAAAGCCAAGCATGGTGTACCCTTGTCAGCCCAGGGTTGGGAAGGCAATGCAGGCAGATCCCTAACTGGTTGCCTAACTGGTGTGCTCCAGGTTACTGAGAAACAACAAAGTAAGAGGCTTTTGAGGAACAAGGGTTGTTTACCTGTGGCCTACACACACACACACACACACACACACACACACACACACACACACACACACTCACATTCACATCTAAAAGAGACAAGTTTCCACTCTGGGTTAAAATTGGAAGCTAAAAGCCTATTTCAAGTCCATTTCCCTGGCTTCTCTTAGACCTTCTCCAGCTTGGCCACCCCAACTTCTGCAACAGGGACAGCTGCCTCCTCAGACTTGAGAGCGATGGTTAGGTTTTGATTCTGAGTTTTGAAGCCAGGCCAGCCAGTGGCATCCATGTGGCCTCTGTCTTTCGCTTTAGATTGAAAGGCATGACAGCTGTGCTTACGACTACCTGGAAATCCGCGATGGTCCCACCGAGGAGAGCGCCCTGATTGGCCACTTCTGTGGCTATGAGAAGCCAGAGGCTGTCAAATCCAGCGCCAACCGACTGTGGGTGAAGTTTGTATCCGATGGTTCCATCAATAAAGCGGGCTTCGCAGCCAATTTCTTCAAGGGTATGGCTTAGCAGTTTGGCCCTCTGTTCATTCACGGGAAGAAAACTTGCCCTAGTAAAAGATCCCCAAATCTATATGAGGCCTTAGCAGCAAGCAAGGCTGTGGCAGGTGGGAAGCTGCTCATTCAGAACGGCTGTGGGGCCCTGTGGGCTTCAAACCTGTGAGGAACAGGCTCCACTTGGCTTCTGCAAGGAGATTTCTATTTGGGGAAATGAGAGTTAGTGATTTTTTGAAGGGTATAGTGTGTTTGTGTGTGTGTGTGTGTGTGACAGCATGTTCACGTGAATGTGAGTACATGTATGTGTGTGTATGAGTGCATGTGCATGTGAGGCCTGAGGCTGACATTAGGAGTCTTTCTAGACGATTTCTACCTTATCCTTTGAATCAGGGTCTCTCATTTTGGCTAGCCTAGCTAGTCAGCTTGCTCCAAGGATCCTTCTGCCTTCTGATGTCGGAATTGCAAGCAGGCTGCCATGCGCACTTGACATTTATGTGGGTGCTGGGGATCTCAACTCAGTCCTCACACTTACACAGCAAACACTTTACCTACTGAACCCTGTCTTCAAGACCTAGTGATTTTATCAGGTCAAATGTATTTAGTGAAACCCTGAATTAATTAATAACAACCCATGCATGACATCTTTGCTAACAGAGAGCTCACTGTGTTTTGTCCCAGGGCCTAGGCAAGGTGCTTTCTTTACCTGGTATTACTTTGTTCCTGTAATAACCATTCCAGTTAGATTTGGACTGTATTGATCCGAGCTGGGAAGGGCTGCTGAGGGCCACTCGGAGATGAGTGGCAGATTAAAGATCTAAACCCTGTCTGACTCCAGGTCCCAGACCCTCTACAATCTTGTCTGGCACTCCTTGGTGTGGGCCAGAAAGGCAACCCAGGTCTTCCACTTCCAGAGGCATTGGCTTCCATCCCCCATGCTTGTCCTCAAGGGAGGGGGTGGGAGGACAGTAAGGGAACAAATCTCCTTGATGGACCCAGACCCAGATCACAAAGGCAGACCTAGCACAAGAAAGCGCTTCCATGTTTCCCCTGAATGGACAATCAGGATCACCAAAGGATGCATACCCTCCTTAATAAGAAGACAAGAGTATTCCCTAGGTCTGGTCTACTGTGGCTGGGTGCCAGGAGCATGCCGACAGCCTTCAGTAGAGATAGAATATCCCTGCAGCCCCTTCTTCATGGCTCCCTCATTATGGTACCTTGGTGTCCAGCCATCCATATCCACTTCAAGGGGGGCTGTGTCCTGCCTTCCTTCCTCTTCTGTCTCCTGGCTGTGACAGATAAAAATCCCAACCCTTCCTTCCACTCCCCATCTTTCTTGTGCCTCCTTTTTGCTTTATTATTTTAGTTTTTGAGAGAGGGTATTATACTGTAACCCAGGTTGGACTGTAACTCACTCAGATTCGGGGCCATTCTCGTGCCTCAGCTTCAGGGAGCTCAGATCACAAATGTGAGCCACCATACCTGGCCCCGCCTCTTCTTAGATACCTTTCCTAGGTTCTCTGTAAAGGGACGACTGTCAGAAGGACTGACTTCAAGACATACCACCCTGCTAGGCAGCCTCATGTCCTTACAGAAGCCCCAGTTCCCCCTTGTAGAACAGAAAGAAGGAAATCTGTTGAGTTGTGAAGCTCCAATAAAACGATGGCCTGGAAATGCTTGCAAGATGCTGAGTCCCAAGCGAGATGTAGGGTTATTGTTCTTCCCATTGGGGCATGCAGGGAAAAAAAATCAAGAGACGGAATGAACATCTTATTGCCCAGCTTCCTTTGACCAGTGGGGCCACAGCAGGATGCCCCAGAGCACAGTGTCTGGCTCGTGTGTCTTTGCCAGGGGGAGGGAGCTGGAAACCACAAAGCCTGTGGCAGAGCCAGGGTGAGCCAGAGAACCTTGTGCCTTGATGCCAGTTGGCAACAGCCTTTGCCTGGGGCCCAGCTGGCCCATAACACTGGCCAGGGTGCCAGCTGGCCTCAGCACTGATCTTCTGGTGCCAGATGGCAGCCCCTCAGAGCCAATTGGCTAGGCAACAGGCAGAGCCTTACACGTCTGCTTACTTTAAGAAAGGATGGTGGCATTCAGGGCTTGGCTGGTCCCACAGCCCTACACAAGGAGTGTGAAATCCTGCTTGAATCCCTACACACTCTCATTCCAGTGCAGAGGGACCATACAGGATGTAGGGTGGCAATGAAGGCCTTCTTCAAGGTATTTCTTCAAAGTCCTGGAGTGTGCTCAAACTTCTCTTTCCTTACCTGTCTCTGAAATGATTTTAAGACCCCGTGTGGGTCTCATTATTGAGCCATAGAATGGCTCCTTCTTTTCCTGTGTATCTCAGGGGATGGAAAGAAGCCAGAGCTCTGGCCATAATTGGCTAAACTCGGGTTCTAGCCAATTCTACTTGCATGCTCTCAGATTTTCTTCGAAGGTGTGCACTGTGTGGGGTGAGCATGAGCCAGTGGGCTTGGCGCAGGTGATACCCTGTGGCACTGTGGAGGCCATGAAGCCACCAGACCCTGGCAAGCCTGGTGCCCATTTGCCTGCCACTGGCCGACGCTGGCACAGTGCTGCAGACAACAACAGCCCACTGCGCTGGCGGCTCTTCTCCATCTCCTGCCTTACGCGTTACCCCCTTTGTCTCCACACGAATGGTGCTTTCGTTGCTTTAAGTCAACCCACTAGCTTTTTTTTCCGTCACCTAGCAACAACTGTGCTAAGAAGTGGTGATCCCCTCTTTCTTACCTCTGTGCCCTGCCCACAACCTCCACATCTCCTGGCATCGGAGCATCCTCCCTCCCCCTCCCCATGAGTCTTTATTTATCTTTGTCTTTTCTCATGGGATCTTTTCTAAGTTTCCACCGGCCGGTTTTGTAAACCCGGGCACTGCTCCCGTCTGTCTGTCCCTCCTTCCCTGACCCATCTTTAAAGCCCTTCCCTGCTCTTGCCCTTCTCCTCTCCTGCTGCTCGCTGTCTTTCTGCCTGACCTGGATGGGCCCATGATGCTCTCCCCTTCCACTGTCCCTATCGTTGTCTTTCCAGTTGCTGGAATTGCAGAGACTGTCCGAGCTGTTTGAAGTGACCACCCCACACACCGACCACGTGCCAGTCCTTCACAGGCATAATTTCCAACCACCACAAAAGCCAAGGCCATTCTTGTCATTTTCAAACTAGGGGGAAGCTCAGGGAAGTTAAACAAGCAGCATCCAAGTCCATGTGATTGGATCACATCAGTTGATCCATCCTGACCCGGCTCCCAGACTCTTTCTACTGCCATCTATCATCCTGTGCATGTTCATCTTTGCGGATTTTTTGGCAGATGTCTAAGAAAGTGCTTTGTGTATTTCAACACAATGAACAAGTAGTTACTTGAACACCAATTCAACATGTTTAATACTACATTTAATTAATGGCCATGGACAACTTCACGTCCCTGTTCACAACCTCTCTAGGTGCCCAGTGACAAACTCATTTCAGTCTTTGTTGGGTCCAAGAACACCTGATATTCAGAGTGACTCTGTATAATACCCACTGAATGAAACGCAGGGGTTCTGACAAGCTATCATCCCCCCAGAGAAGGGCAATCAGGCTGACAAAGGATTCATGCTTCACAGACAAGGAAGATGGGCAGAGAGTAGGCTCATTTGAGTTGGAAAATGGTAGTGAAGAGGGAAAAATAGAGAGGGCGTTGCATTTCTGCAGTTTGTTTCCAACTCTTAGAGATATTCTGATTTCTTTCATTTCCTTGTGCAACTCATTCTTTCAAGATTTGGCCAACAGCTTCATGCTTTCTCTGCCCTCCTTACCTTGGTGCCTCCAACCTACACTCTCCTTCCTGACCCACCCACTTTGCATTTTAAATGATGTCTTTCCTTCATTCTCCTCTTCTGGCATAGGCAGGGCACATCCTGTGTGCTAGCTTCCATGGATAGATGTGCATAGCCTGGTAACAGAGTAGTTTTCCGTTCATTTCTGGTACTCTTCTTGGAGATGGCCATTGCTAAGTACTTGCTCTGCTTTAGTGGCTTGTGAGCTAACAGTGACTCCTGCCTTCTCCTATGGTCAAAGCTCCTAGCATCCTACTCCTTGTTGTTTAGTGTTTAATAAACACTGGGCACCTGTTTATGCCGAATCCCTTAGGCTCCCAACCTCCAAGCCTCCTTCCTGCTTACCCAACAATTTCTCCCAGGAGCACTGGCTAATCTGGGAGCCCAGTGTTTTCTGTATGTTCTTAAGAATTTCTATAAAAATGCTGCCCAGCAGACTTCTAGTTCTGTCTAGGATGCTAGTACATCTTCATCTAGAAATGCATCCCACCATTATCTTCCTTTGCCAAATGTCTCTAAGAAGTTCTGTGCTTATGGAAGAGAATCCCAATTCCATGGTATTAAAATGATGAGGCCTCTGGTGTGGAACCTGGTGAGATTCATGAAGCCAATCATGTACACTGAATGGGCGCCTGGTATAATTCTGTTCTCCAACCTGGCTCTTCCTGTTCTGCATAACTAGATGCCCCTGTTCATGTGATCAGGATCCCATCTTTGACTGTCGCTGCTGCCGATGACTGTCAAGTACAGACACAGGAGTTTGGGGGAAGTGGTTACTGGAAGTAGCTCTTGTCATAGAGGCATGTACCTGGAGCCTTAGGATATGGAAGGGAGGGGACACACTGCGCATCTTGGTGACAATTTAACCCTGTCACTTTCCCTCCCGCAGAGGTGGATGAGTGTTCCTGGCCAGACCACGGTGGGTGTGAGCAACGCTGTGTAAACACACTTGGCAGTTACACATGTGCCTGTGATCCTGGCTATGAGCTGGCTGCTGACAAGAAGACATGTGAAGGTTGGTACTGGACCTGCCAAGCTGAAATGACAAGGACTTGGAGATTACAAGTTTTAGAAGTGGAGACAGAGATGGGCAAGTGACTGACTATGAAACAGCAGTGTTCAGGAGAGCCACCTATTTTTCTGAGGCAGAAGAAAGCGGGGGCAGTCACAAACATAACAGGTTCCAGCCATCCTTGAAACCCGGAGACAGAGGCTGCAGCTTGTCCCCCTTCTGGGGACAATTCATGTGGTTGCCATGACAAAACCACGAGGAACTATGAGTGCTCTGGCAGGACACAGTTGAGAGCCCCTCACCTGCTACTTTCCCACGTGGCCTGGGTTCAGCCCACCTACCCACCTAAACGAATCCACTTGCTCACACAAGCCAGGTACAGTGAGTAGCTTGATACAGACATCTCTGACTCTCCTTTGGTCTGAGACCTGGGGAGCCCCCCAACTGTAGAACAGGTCAGATGCTCCATCATTACTTTAAAAGCAGTAGATGTGTCCCCAGCTTGTCCCCCCAAAGCCTCCGTGGAAAGCACTCATTTAAAAAAAAGAAGAATCTGAGTCTGTTCAGATTGTCTAACTTTTCCGTGATTGTTAAAGGACAGCAGGGCCCTCCTGATGCTTGGGGGATATCTCAGTCACTTGGAACCAAAAACAGACGAGTCTAAAATCTGTTTCCCTTCATGCAGTGGCCTGTGGTGGATTCATTACCAAGCTAAATGGCACCATCACCAGCCCTGGGTGGCCGAAGGAGTACCCCACAAACAAGAACTGTGTCTGGCAGGTGGTGGCCCCCACGCAGTACCGCATCTCCCTGCAGTTTGAAGCATTCGAGCTGGAAGGCAATGACGTACGTCTTTGCCCCGTGACGGATGGGGTGGTAGCTGTGTTGAGAAGTGATTCACAGCTAGGACAGGCTCTCCAGGCAGCAGGGTGGCCTGGGTGAAGCTGCTGCTTCTGGTGGAGACCTGGGGTGGAGACTAGGCAGAACTGGGGGCTGTGGAGAAGGGGGCGGTGTCTCATTGAGTCACTTCAGCTGCATGTCCATTCCACTGAGTCCAAGGAAGATGGAATCGAGAGTGAAGGAGGCAGGAGATGGGGGTAGAGCAGTCAGGGCTGACCTAAACTCCGAGGTGTGGATCTGGGGACCAGTGTCCATCTGAGGGGAACAAAAGGCACCGAGGGCCAGCAGCAGACAGGGATACTGTCAACAGCCTGTCCCTGTCTCTCGGAAGTGGCGATGGATAGTCAAGTCAGGAGAGGCCATGGCAGTACCCCACAGCCAGAGTGTGACAGGAGCGCCTCGTGACTGCACCTGGGAACAGGAGGAGCCCCTGGAGCTCCGTGTGTTTCTCCACGAACCCCTGCCACAGCCCAGCTGGGGCGATCACTCCAACAACAGCAGTGGCCTAGCTCTCACCCACTCCATCACCCTTGCAGGGAACCAAGAGAGACTTCCATGCCCCAAATCCCAATGCAGGAAGCTCAAGAGATGGCCTGACAGTTAAGACTGCTCTTCTAGAGGACCCAAGTGCAATTCCCAGCACCTTTGTTGGGTGGCTCACATCCAAATATAACTCTCCTGACCTCCACGGCCACCTGCACTCACATGTACAAATCCACATACCCACACATATAACTAAAAATGAAACACATCTTTAAAAATAAAACAAAACCAACCAACCAACCAACCAACCAACCAACCAAACAAACAAACAAAAACCAATACGTGGAAGGCTCTGGTGCCAATCAGGGCTAACCTCCTCAAAATGAGTATTTCACAGAAAAAAAAAAAATAGCCATTTGAAGGTAACTAACCAGACCTTCAGCATTTAAGTTATTTTCAAAGAAAATTCTGTGCTAACTGAGGTAATGTGGATTCTAGTCCCCCCGCTCCACCACTGCTGAGCCAGGTGACGTCAGACGAACGTCTTTCCCCTCCGGGGCATTATTTTGTTCCTGTGAGACTATGGTGGAGTTGGTCTGTGGCCACAGTTTGAAGACATCCCTTCCCTCGCTCCCTCCTCCTTTGCCATCTCCTCCCAGCAGGGGCCCTTTGCTGAAGCCAAGGCCTTGTGGTAGCCCAAGATATAAATAAGTAGAAGCAAGGAAGGAGCTTGTATTCTGCTGCCAGGCAGCTTACCTCACAGAGCCTCAGTTGGAAAGCTGAAGTCCCTGCCACCCTCTGGTGCTCACAGCACAGTGACAATCCAGAGGACTCCAGCTCCAGGGCTGGTTGACTGAGCACATTCGCCCGCAGGGAAGAGTGTAGTTCTGAGGTGGACACTCTGGTGAGGACCCACGTGTGTCAGCAGGAGGACCTCGGAAGGGAGGAGGGGGAGGGAAGGACGGACTGGACAGTTTGCTCTCCTGACCTCTGCATGGAGTCTTAGTTGTCAATATGAAATACAAGGGTGAAGCTTATAGTCCAAGAGTTCTAGGGCATCACAACTTTGGTGGCAAGAGGGTACAGAGGGAGGGGTGCCATCAGTGCCCCCGAGGCGCATCTATGAAGTGACTGGGGGGAAGGGGAAGCACACTGCCCTGGCCCATGTTCCCTCACAGGTCTGTAAGTATGACTTCGTAGAGGTGCGCAGCGGCCTGTCTCCTGACGCCAAGCTTCACGGCAAGTTCTGTGGCTCCGAGACCCCCGAGGTCATCACGTCGCAGGGCAACAACATGCGTGTGGAGTTCAAGTCTGACAACACAGTCTCCAAACGAGGCTTCAGGGCCTACTTCTTCTCAGGCAGGTGGGGCGGGCCTGCAGAGGCCCGAAGGCTCCTGGACCCTGAGTTCCTGGAGCCTCCTCTCTGCCTCCTCCAACTTCCTCTTCATCTGGTTTTTATATTGGTGGCCCGGTTCATCTCCTGGGGACACCCCAACAACTTGCCACACGCCAAGTGTGGCTTAAAACAAACAAACAAAAAATTATTCCCTTAAGTTCTATGAGTCAGAAATTGGAATTCAAGGATACCACAAAGCATGTAGTGGGTCCTGTTGGTCACGTCACACTGGAGTGTGGCCTATTCAGAGGGGTGTTTGGATCTCTCTCTTAGTGCTCAGCATTGAAGCAGGCCCATTATTTGTTGGCTTTATAGGTGCTCAGAGTTCTGTCTTTGACTTTTGGGGGTAGGCGGTCTCTCACTGAGCAAGTTCTGTTTTGTGTTATGGGCACAGCACAGACCTGAGCTCAGAGGTTGCCTGGATGGCATCCAGCCTGGCATAAGCTTGCCCTGGTTGGAGAGGCCAGAAAGACAGCATCCCGGTAAGTCCCAGCTTAGGGTAGCCTGATGAGAGCTGATACTCGGAGGAGGAGGGGACCTGAGGCAGTGGGTACAGCCTCTCTGCCTGAAGCATGCAATCTGGGCCAGATCTGAAAGGCTGAGGGGGAGATAGTATGACTAGACAGAAACTGACCAAGGTCTGGAGAAGAGGGGGTGTCACGAGCTTGGATCTGTGGGTCTCAGTGTTTACAAAGACTTGTAAGACCAGACTAGCAGGACCCATAATTGCCTGGGGAAGCCACAGGTGGGCCAGGTCAGGCAGCCTTGGTCAAAATGAGCCATGAATGCTGGCTGAAGGGTGGGATCCAGCGGGACAGGATGGAAACCCTCTCTGTAGGTTCTGAGCAGGGAAGCCTACAAATCATATGATCAAACCAGGTCAGGCAGGATGGAGCTGAGAGGGCCAGGAATCTCCTCAGAGGCAGGTACGCAAGGCCCTAATGAGGGGTATAGTTCCATGCTTACGCACAGAGCCCAGAGACAGAGAAACTAGGTCTTAGGAGGTAAGGGCCCCCATGAGTGTCAGTGGGAGGCCTTAGGAAGGGAGGGGGAGGGGAGCACCGTACTGGGCTGTGACGTCAGTTTACACTCTAAGAGCTCTGGATAGGGTTTTGGTTGTTCCCATAAAAACAAGGGTGAAGCCACAATGTGAACTGTTCTAGAACACCACAACTATAATGGCAAGAGAGTACCGAGGGAAGGCTGACACCTTAATCCCCGAGGCACATATAGAGCGGGGTAAAGGAAGGAGGGGGTGGAATGGAGGCAGAACCTCATTTACTACAGGAAGAAGGTGGCAATGGAAAGGTCCATGCCTCCAGAGCCTCAGGAACCACAGGGTAAGAGCCAGCACTAGGGTCTCACGCGACTGTAATTGTAGCAACCAACACTTCCTGGGAGCCAGACATTCCGAAGGCTTTCCCAATTCCCATTCATTTTCCCGCCCAGCAACCCGAGGGGGCCGAGACAACGGAGCCTGAAGTACTGTCCTGCTGAGGTGAAGTGGGCAGCACCCGCCATGTGGCTCCTGGCCTGCACACTTACCTCTCTACACACGGGGAACAGTGTGTGTCCAAACCTCTGGGTCACAATAAGCTTCTTGCATAGAAGCTGCCTGGGCTTGTTTCTTTGCATGTAAAGTGTGTGTGTGTGTGTGGGGGGCGTACAGATATGCCCTCCTAAGCTCTAGTGGGAATTAACTTAGATCACAATAGCATACAGGAAGTGCCAAGGACCCATTCTAGGGTAAATAGTCAGTATATGGTGGTCATTTTCATCATTGCTGCTTTGGCTGTTGATGTGAACCTGCCCTCCAGGGAGCTCCTTGGCTTGGGTGGGAAGCAGGACAGAGAACATATGTTCCGCACGTGAAAGTGTTTTAGGAGCACGGAGAACCCCAAAGAGGCCAATGGATGTCTCAAATATTCCAAACAAAGATCCCCCTCTCCGTGACTGTCACCTCTTTAAGGGGACATGATCTGGGAGGCTCTTTGGAGCCCCAGGGGACAGCGGCAAGCAGGCAGCTCTTCTCAGGAGAGCCCATTGGTCTCCGCAGACAAGGACGAGTGTGCCAAGGACAACGGCGGCTGCCAGCAGGAGTGCGTGAACACGTTCGGGAGCTACCTGTGCAGGTGTGGGAATGGGTACCGACTGCACGAGAATGGACATGACTGCAAAGAGGGTGAGCTGGAGCTGCTGGGCTGGCACCGGCTTCTCTAGGTGTGTGAGCGGGTGAGGGAGGGATGCGGGCGGGAGCTGGCATGGGGAGTCACCGTCTGTAGAATGCCGTGAGAGCTCCACGTGAATCTTCACTTTGGTGGCTCTCCTGTGGGACAGCAATTAATTGTCTTAGGGACAGCTGGTCAACGAGACCCGAGATGAGTGCCTATTGCAGACTGATTAAGCCAGAATCAATATACCTACCTCTAAATTATGGCTTTGCCCTTCCCTAGCTACGTACTCTTCGGCTAGTTACTTAAATCTTATGAGCTTCATTTTCCTCTTCTGTGACAAGCAGGGTAAACATGGTAATCTTGTGTCTTTCCTTGGGGTTTTGTAAGGATTCCAGCCTGCCTAGGAAGTGTTTGAGATGGTCTGATGCAGACTGTGTGTGCTAGGTATAAATATTAGGCCCGCGTCTTTGTCGTAGCAGTGCCCCAGGCAGGACTGAGAATGAAGTAGAACGGGAGGAATTTCACCTGCTTCCTTCAGAGCCAGATGGTTTTGCTTGCCCAGCCATTGTGGAAGAAGCCTGCCCTTAGCGTTTACCTTCTTCTGCGAAGGGAGTTTGTGTATCCGTGATAAACGTAGCTAAAGGCCTTGCCCTGCTCTGAGCTGAAGGACTTGGAGGATGGCGGAAGATGTGAAGACCGCATGCCTCTTTCTTATTTGGAGATGGGAAAAATTGAGAGGATGCATGCAAACCACTTAACCACAGAGCAAGACAAACTCAAAATACTAGTCACCAAGCAAGCCATGGTACCACTCTTGGCTAATAACAGGTGATATGGGCAAAGCAGGCCGGCCATGGATGGGATTGATGGAGGGAAGGCATAGTGACCCTTGGATCTCTGTTGACATTCACCATGGGTGGCACTCTCTAGGCCTTTCACATGTGACATTAGCACACACCTATGAGCCTGCCGTTCCTGTGACGCATGAGGACAGAGAGGTCTTAATCCCATGAGTTGTAGAACCAGTGCTCTCCTGAACTCGGCCTGACCCCAGGGCCTGTGCTCTCACCCGGTGCTGACTCTACCACGTTCTCAGTGCCAGCCTCCATGTGAAGAGTCATGGTTACAGAAAGGTTTCTCCTCCGGAGCCCGTTCAAAGTCAGCACCAGGTCACACCAGATCCAGGCTGGCTGCCCATACATTGGGTATTGACCCTGAGACTACCCTGTGATGCCGGCCCCAGTTGAATGACTGCTCTGTGTGTCCCCTTCTGACCTCTAGCTGGCTGTGCATACAAGATCAGCAGTGCAGAGGGGACCCTGATGAGCCCCAACTGGCCTGACAAATACCCCAGCCGGAAGGAATGTACGTGGAACATTTCGTCAACCGCAGGCCACAGGGTGAAAATTGTAAGTTGTTTCATTAGGTTGCTAAGGGCATAAACCTTGATGTTGGGCAGACATGGGTTCAAGTCCTGCTCCGTGTCCATCATGAAGCATGCCCAGGTCTCAGTTGTGCTACTGAGGAATGGGAAGATGCTGTGAATCTTGAAGTGGGGGCTGCTGGGCAGATGAAGGGAGCGTGCCCTGTAACAGCACTTCTTCCGGTGGCACTGTGTGAGGTGGCCGCCACCACACAGGTGTGCAGTGCTGTGTGGGACTCAGTTGTCTCCAGAGCAGATCTCTCACAGAACATTACACTCTGGAAGAAGAAAACAAAAGACTTAATTTACACAGAAGGTTGACAGGGGAAGGCCGCAAGTTCTCAGGTCCCCCATTCCCACTCTAGAAATTTGTGACTCTCTCCAGAAGTTTCCCACACATGGGAAAACATGTACCTTTTTTTTTCTTTGCTCAGATCACTTACATAGAATAAATACAATTATTCATACTCTCTGCAATCTACATCTTTTTCAATTAACAGTAAGACCACTATGCTAATTCTTCCTTCAGTTAAAAAAGCAACAATTGCCTTGCATTTAAAGTTTCATCTGCATATATCTGATATGTAGTCTTGCACAGCATATTTCATTATTTACAAAAAAAAGTCTGTTCTCCAAATCCCATGTCTTAGCCCCCCCCCATTCTGACCTGTAGTGTATGACATATGAAGCAACTAGCAGCTAGAGAATCTCTCTCTCTATACACACACACACACACACACACACACACACACACACACACACACTCAGAGACACATATGCACACGCACGTACATAGGAACACACTCACACATGCACACGCACATACACAAAACACCTCAGACTGTTGAGATGAGCAAGAGGACTTTATGAATGACTGACTAATAATGCAGGAAGGAGAGAAGAGAACAGAGAGAGACATGGTGATTTGCAGGTGATCGTGCCAGGGAGTTTCCTGCTACACAAGGATAATTAATGGTCTTCCAAGGCATCAAGGGTAACAAAGGGACCCCAGGGCATAGGGCATGCTCCTTGGGCACTTCCTGTACATGACATGTGCTGCCAATGTAGGAACTGCTTTCTTCTGCCCTGGGTCTCTCAGAACAGTGTGAAATCTGGATGAGGGTGAGTTAAGGATTGAGAGCCTTTGAAAGGCCACCTTTGCCCTAGACTGCCATCTGTCGGAAAGATGCACTGTTCCTCAGTGGCATCCTTTCCTGATGATCACGAAGAACAGCATACAGGGGGTGGGCGTGGGGGGGGACACCTCAAATCTGCAAAATGGGATGCCTTAACCTGAGGTGTCTGCACACAAGACATTTCCTTGGAACATGGTTGGTGGGTATGTTGACTGAACTCTGCCTTTTTTAAAAACTACAGAGTGTGACCCCCAAACATAAAACTAATGTCCTCCTTTCCACTCTGTCGTTTTAGTCAAGCCTTTACCTAATATCCCCTGCTTACCTTGACACCGCAGGCAGACGATCAGTCAGTCAGTCATTGTATGGCTTGAAACTGTTCAGCTCCCAGGCCAACAACTGGGGACAGTCTTTGGTGGAGGGCGAGGAAGAAAAGAGACAGCAGAATCTGGTTATGGTTAACCTGGAGAAGGTTGGCACTGGGTCATGTTCAATTTTCACTCCAATTAGCTTCTTTATTACTCAGTTTCTCCTTCTGTTCCCCAGGGATACTAATAGATCTCCATAATGTCATTAGAATTTAAGTGAGAAAATTCCCATAATTTATTGGCGTGGAAAAAAAAAATACCCAACAAATGTCAGCACTTTGAGGCTGATGGCAGAACAGTGTGGCCCTGCTCAAAGGCACTGGAATTTCAAGTGTGTGGTAGTGGGAAAAGGCTAACAGTAGCATCTCTGAAGCCACAGTTCCCATGTCCCATAACAGCTCTACCAGTGAGGACCCTGGAAAAGCCATCCGACATCTTCTTGCAGGGATCATGCGTGGGACAGGGTTGCAAAGACTGAATGAGGGACATTTGTAAAGCCCGTAACACAACCACCAGCATGGGTGAGCACTCAGTCCCAGCTGGCCTCCAGCATCAGAGGAGGGGGATGCGAAGAGGTAATTCTGAGTGGTTGGCAGCCTGGGACTGGATGTTGCATCATCATGGCAATGGTGGGCACCCCTGCAAAGCTGGCAGACAGACACCTCCCGGTCCTGTGTGCCCCCTCCCTTCCCCTTCCCTTCTCAATGCCCTATCCTTACCTCACTTTCTGCTCTCCCATCTCCAGACATTCAATGAGTTTGAGATTGAGCAGCACCAGGAATGTGCCTATGACCACCTGGAACTGTACGATGGGACGGACAGCCTGGCCCCCATCCTCGGCCGCTTTTGTGGCAGCAAGAAGCCAGATCCTGTGGTGGCTACGGGCAGCAGCCTGTTTCTCAGGTTTTACTCAGACACCTCGGTGCAGAGGAAAGGTTTCCAGGCTGTGCACAGCACAGGTGCGGGCCACTGCTGAGCACCTCCCAGGCTCATAGCTGATGAAGGACCTCCTTCGGTCTGTCTGCCAGGGTGGGGTGAGGAGAATGGCATCCTTAACCGTCCCTGTTAAAAGAAACAGCAGCAGCTGCCATTGGCTGGAGGTTCTTCTCTTTGGATGCCTTTAGCTGACAAAATTGGATGTGGGCAACACTTTGTTGGTGCCCTTCCATCTCCCTCTTTCCCCCTTAAAAATGCACTTGTCGTCTTGCTGACCCGTGAAGTGCAAAGGTCTGAGAACTGAGTGGTGGAGAGCGGCCATTTTACTCTTGAGGGGCCACTTCTGGAAAATGTTGCTTTTCCTTGTCATTTTTTTTTTCCTTTTTATTCCTGGCACTCCAAAAGTCAGCAGCTCTGCCGGGTCCTCTGGAAGAAAATAAGTATGCTTCTAACTTATCTAACTGTTAAATATAAGAAAACCAATAAGGAAGTGGACTCTGCTCCGCTCAGTCTCAGCCCTGCGGAGGAATGCGGACCCTTTGATCCTGACATTGAATTGCGGCAGAGACGGGGGCTGCCCAAGAACCTGCCAGCAGCGGCTTTTGTCCCTGGTCCTGAGCAGGAGGTCATGATCAGGGGACACTGCCGTTCTTTTTAACAGCTCCTTTCCCACTGCAGCTCTTTGTAATAGCCCTTCCCCCTGTGCTCCGCCCCCTCAAGTCAGAGCCAGGAAACAGGGCTCAGAGCAAACAGAACCACAGTTCCCATGTCCAATCAGTCTAGCCTCCCCTGCTTAGGCAGACACCCCATCCTTCATGAGACCCTCTGTAGCCTCTTGAGGATCTATACTTCCCCCACAGGAGTTTAAGGTCACAGATGAGTGACTTCACCCTCTTGTTCCTGTAGATTGAGTAGAATATGGGTGCTCTGGGTCAGAGAGATGGTTCAGTGCTTAAGAGCACTGGCTGCTTTTGCAGAGAACCTGGATTTGATTCCCAGCACCCACGTGTTGGCTTACAACTGTCTGTAACTCCAGTTTCAGGGGATCTGATACCCTTTTCTGGCATTCACAGACACTACAAGCACACGGTGCACGTATAAACGTAAAGACAAAACACCCATACACTCAGAATAAAATGAAATGGAACAGAGGCGCACTGGGTGGGTTAGCGTCTCAGTGGGAGGTTGGAGCATGCTGGGAAATAGTTGCAGACTTTCATAAAGGGACTATTTACAGCAGGGCTTGCAGAGCATGGGGGCACCTCAAAGGACAGGTAAGGGGTTGGGAGCCACAAGCATATATAGTCACCCCAGCCCAGAAAGCAGACGGAGGGATGGGCAGAGCTTTACCGCTTGGGAGATGTTAACCTCCTTCTGACCTGCAAGTGTTGCCAATGGTTGAACCCAGGCTCAGAGTGACAGGTCACTGGGGTGCTGGGGTGGGGGTGGTGGTGCAGCAGGCCCTCTCTGTGCTCAGTGTATGTCTCCTGAGTTGAAAGGCAGGTCAGGCATGAAGAGACGGTAGCTGGTAGCCAGGGTAAGGACAGGGCCGGGCCAAGCCAGGTGAACAACTCCAGCTGGGATGTTAAGAACTAATTAGTCCACAATCCACACCAAAAGCAGCTTTGCCTCCCCATCCCCACCCCCACTCCTCCACCCCACCCTAACGCCTGCATTCATGGATCCTTTCCAGTAGAAATTGAAGTTTCTGTGTTGTTGGGCTCAGCTGCAGTTCTGATAGGCTTTTATCGCCCCCTACTGGCATCACTATAAATTACAGCTGGTGGGAGTCCTTTCTGCTTCCAGTACCTCCAAGGCTTGGAATAGTTAGATCAGTCACACCCCTGCAACCAGTCAGGAAAGCTACTCTTTGGTTCCTTTTCCCCCTTGGTGGGGAGAGAGGGCAGCAGCTAGTCTTTTTCAGCGGCATTCTTGGGCCCGTTTGGATGCACCTGGGAGCCCTGCCTGCTGCACCACTGCCTCTTTCTCGTGCAGTAGGATGGTGAGGTTGCCCATCCCCTCCTGCAAGGCATGCAACGGACTTCAGAGACGCTTTTGAGAAGCAACAGGCTGATGCCCAGGGGAAGAGTGAATCTTTCTTCTCTCTCTGCTGCAGAGTGCGGGGGCAGGCTGAAGGCTGGCGTGCAGACCAAAGAGCTCTATTCTCATGCCCAGTTTGGGGACAACAACTACCCGAGCCAGGCCCACTGCGACTGGGTGATAGTGGCGGAGGATGGCTATGGCGTGGAGCTGGTATTCCGGACCTTCGAAGTCGAGGAAGAGGCAGACTGTGGTTACGACTACATGGAGGCCTACGACGGCTACGACAGCTCAGCACCCAGGCTTGGCCGCTTCTGTGGCTCAGGGGTGAGTCTGAGGGATGCACAGGATACCTCCTGATGTCACGCCTAGCTAGAATCCTGCCCCTGTGAGCCACAGCCGGGAGTCCATTTGGCTGTGGTAGAGTGGAAAGGAGACCTCCCCAGAGACAGGCCGGGAGGGGCCAGGGGCCTTCCGGTCACACAAAGGACATTATCAGCTGAGGGAGAGCACTTCATCCTCTCTCCCTTTGCCTCTGCCTTTGAGTCCTGTTTCTCATTTTCATTTGGTCTTTGGGCTTTATTAATTCAATATGTTAGTATATACTCACTATGTTCACAGTTCTTATCATAAGCAAAACCGAGTATAGATTACAAATGATCACACATCATACTTGGTATAAACACAATGTTTATATCTGAGGTCATTATTTTTCCCTTTATTACCCACTTCCTGGGCTCACTGTATCTCCCGCACCTGACTCAGGGAGGACATACAGTCTGTGCCCAGTGGGTGTATAGGAACAAGTGAGTACAAAGTCCTAGCCACTCCCCAAACACACCACATGGTACACCCACCATCTGTCCTGGGCTTCAACCCTTGTCTCTGCTGATTGCTCATGCTTCTTTACTATTGCCTAGGCTTATGCAAATCATTTTGGAATCATCACTGCTTCTGGTGCAAAACAGACATTCAGCCTGGTATTCATGTCTTTGAATGGTTAGTCTTCTGTCTTACCTTGTCTACCCCCCCCTTCCCCCCCCAAAAAAAAAGGAAAGAAAGAAAGAAAGACAAATGAGACCTCCTGATGCACTGCCTTTGATAAAACTTCTGAAACCAAGGAGTGCATGGAGAGGAGCCCCTTAGAGATCTTAATTAGTAGGAAGTCCCCTGTGGCACCCCTAGGATCTGGCAGGCAGTGGCTTGGCATCTGGCTCTAACCCCACTCTAGACCACCTGGCAGAAGCCTCCCGACACAAATGTAGCAGCTCCACCCACTTGCTGGCCAAGACCAAGCATAGACCTGCACAGTGGTCTTCACTCCAGGTTTCCTGGCAGACACTTCACAATGTTAAAAATCACAGCACAGGAGATCCACAGGATAAGCAGAAAGACCCAAGTGTGGATCCTGCTGACCTATGTGAACTTGACTCTTAGGCTCCTCACATGTAAAGTGGACCCAGTACCTGCCTTCTTACACACTTGCGAAGTCTGCATTAGATGAGATCTGAATGTGGGTAGCCAGTGCCTGCCTTCTTACACACTTGTGAAGTCTGCATTAGATGAGATCTGGATGTGGGTAGCCAGTGCCTGCCTTCTTACACACTTGTGAAGTCTGCATTAGATGAGATCTGGATGTGGGTAGCCAGTGCCTGCCTTCTTACACACTTGAGAAGTCTGCATTAGATGAGATCTGGATGTGGGTAGCCAATGCCAGGCCCGCCTGGGCCCTGATAGCAATAGATGCTGAATGTGTTCTGCGTCTAGCCTCAACTTTGTAAAGTAGGGCCCAGGGAATCCTCCTTTGAAAAGGAACCTGCTTGGATGCCCGTCAGAGCTTCTGGTGATCTCATGGCAGTCATGGCCATCCTTGGGCCCCATCTCAGTTACACCCTCCTCTACATTTCAACAATAACAGACTGGCCTAAAATCTAGCTTTCCTTTTTCTTTTCCCCAGCCATTAGAGGAAATCTACTCTGCAGGGGATTCGCTGATGATTCGATTCCACACGGATGACACCATCAACAAGAAAGGTTTTCATGCTCGATACACCAGCACCAAGTTCCAGGATGCCTTGCACATGAGGAAATAGCGTCAAGGCTCTGGCAAGGCAGAGACAAAGGATGTTTTAAACACCCATGATTGAGTAGCCCCCAGTGTACAGTATCTTTCTCAACATCAAAAACTCAAACTACATCCTTGAAACTATGTATCTGGATGAAAAGTACATGCCTTTGGCCAACAGGAAGAGAAAGAGTGTCCCGGTGGTTCTAGCTGCAGTGTTACCAATTGCAGCTTCTAAAGGAGGTTAAAATCTGAAGTTCGTGACCAAACAAGCTGTACCCTTGCTCCTATGGGGCAAAAGGCCACCTGGGCTACCCCATCCTCAACTCTGGACTGGCTGCCATAGGCGACAGGCAACACCAGCTTCTCCTGATGACTCGGCTGCCTTCTGTCAGCATTGGACGTTGAGGACAAAAGCTTGGCCGTGGCTGAGTTGTTCCAGGTGTGGCTGGAGTTTTGACTTAGCTCTTCCAGAGCCAAGCCAATGAGGAAACCTGAGACTATGTATGGACCCAAGAGCGAAAGAGGCATCTCAGTGCACAGAGGGAGGCTTAGCCTGGGAACTAGCGTCATGGAGTTGGAAGATCTCTCGCCTTTTCCTGTTACTGGCCATCCTTGCCTCCTCTAGGGTGCTCCTGTCATTGGTACCCATTCGTGAGGGAGAATCCATGGTCACGCCCAGCAGCACACTCACTGGTGAGCACTCCCAGGTTGCTGAGATGACACTCAGAGGCTGAGAGGATGCCACCTGTGCTGGGGTTCCCGCCAGCTTCCAAGCACTCCCAGCTGTGGAGGCAGAGGCATCTGCTCCAGGGAACCTCAACCCCTGGACAGCCAGTTCAAACAGCATCTGCAAGACGTGCCGCCAAGTCATCTCAGGAACAATTCAGGTCTCACTAGGTGAAAACTAGTAATTCCAAGTTATGTAAGAGTCGTCATCTTCCGGAACAAGTGGGTCTGTGGCACACTTCATGTCACCAGACAGGTTAAAGAGCGTGTTGGCTACTTTGCCGCAGTTAAGCAGGATGCAGCTGTCACACTGCAAGCAGAATTCTCAACACTCTGACGTGTAGAGGGTGATGTTTACATAATTTTAGCACCTCAAAGCATAATTGAAATAGTGATGTAGTTTTGAATGGCATTTCATTAAGGCATCTCTGGGCATTATGAGCTAAAAGCTGTGGTATGTTAGCTTTATAAGAGCATTTATGTTGGGATAACTTTAAAATAATGTTTACATAACCGCAAGTCCTGTTGGGTTGGTGGTGAACACAGGGCGGCACAGGAGCCTGCTTCCGTTAGAGATGGCATAGCTCCCGAGCACCAGAATCCCTTTGTGACAAACCATCACTTTAAAGAAAGTGTTCATGAAAGCTGAAGGTGTTTCTTTTTTTAAAAAGATCCCAGTATACCAACCAGAGGACGACGTCTAACTAAAGTGACTGCTGAGAGCAAAAAACCAGAATGATACAAAGAAAGGGGAAAGAAATGCATGGGAGCATTTTGTTCTTAAAACAGAAAAAAAAATCCAAGTATTATTAATAATAATAATATATGTCTGTATATATGTATCTATGTATGTATGTAAGGATCAGCTATCAAAGCCTTAATCAGGGCAGTATGGCAGTGCCAACCCACTGGCTGTGGCTTATCATCAGACTCCGGTGCTGGCCCCACACATGACCCATCTCCCTTCAAAACCAAGATCTCTTCCAGCTTCTCTTGGCCCTGAACTGAGGCTCCGTCTCCATCCTCATGTCCTGATTGCTGGCACACCCACCCGGGGAGAGCTTTATATGGCAAAAAAGACAGCTTCTCCCATTGTTTTGGTCCCATCAACCAACTGTGGTAGATTCCACTGCTCTGGTGTGTGTGTGTGTGTGTGTGTGTGTGTGTGTGTGTGTGTGTATGTGTGTGTGTTTAGGTTATACTTTTGTCTCATTTTGTCTGTGAAGGGTGGACCAGAAATCAGGATACATAAGGTATCTGTCCCCAACCCCACTCCACAGAGACAAAAATTCTGTATTTTTAACCTTTAGAAGCCTAAGTAAGATTGACAAATTCCATGGAAAATCGGAGCTGGGGAGAGACAGTGTTTGCCACTGTGGTGACACACTGATCATTCTTTTAGTGTGAATGTTTTTCAGAAGCACACGGCTCTAGCAGAGGCCATTTACAACAATACGGCTCTTATGGTAGCCCTTGTTTAGGCCTGTGAGTGACATACTCCCAGAAGACAGGCTCTGATTCAACAAGAGCTGCAGGGGGCCCCTTCTCTGGAAGCTGGCACCCACAGGAATTCACACAGGACACAGGTCCTGCAAAGAACTGCAGTCTGGCTTCCAAAAATAGTTCACTCCACAGAAAGACCCAGCTGCCCCACCTTGGCCCTTCCAATCGCTCAGTGTCCTTTCCAAAAACGTCCCTGGATATGTACGGAGAAAAGGTCTCAAGGCTAGCTCTTCAGTTTACCTTCCCTTTTATCTGGGACCAAGCCTGTGGGTGTCATGAAGCTCTAAGACCCAAGAACTGACTCTTAGGACAAATGACCTAAGGAAGTATTTGGAACCTGGGTCTCTGTGCCCTAGGTCTATGACTCTGAATCAGCAGAAGCAGGAACCTGCACCCAAGGCGGCGAAGCTGCAAAGAGCTGGCATGAGGCTATGTATCGATTCACTGTTTTCTCTGAAGTTTCTCTCTCAGTGTTCCCTCTACACAGTCGTGGAATTCTTAGACTGCTCAGCCTGTTTAGATAATTCTCTAACCACAGGTAAGCAGCAGCTTCTCATAAGAACATGCCGTCAGTCTGGTCCCCATGCTATTCCTTAGACTTCTTGGTATTGTTCATGGAGTTTGGGAAGAGATGGCCCCTTAGCATCCATAGATGTTTTAAGCTTTGCAGATTGTGATCAAACTTCTGATCAGTAACCCCCAAATCTAAAAAGGTTCTTTAAAAAAAAAGAAAGAAAAGTATTATCTATACATATAAGGGTATTTTTTTATTTCGAGTAACTTTACATTTCATGTAAAATGTCAGTTGGCAAGAACATGGGGGAGATGGTAATCCTTGTCTAAAAATGATGGTTTCATTAAAGAATGTGGATTTGCTGCTGTGTTCTGGGTTTGTGTTACTAGTTCAGACAACATCGGCCTTTTTTTTAAAAAAATGTGTTACTTTTTATTTTTTGAGTTTGAGTGTCTGCCTACATGTATGTATGTGTACTCTGTATGTGCCTGGTATCCTCAGAGGTCAGAAGCAGGCATACGATTCCTGGAACTGGAATTACAGGTAGGTACTGGGAACTGAACCCAGGTCCTCATCAAGAGCAGTAAATGCCCTTACCAGCCGAGCCATCTCTCCAGTCTCCATTACTGACATCATAGAGAAACATTTGGAAAAATCGAAACAGGTGTTTTGGGACCACACATGAATATAGTGAACCCCTGGTCCCAGTGTGATGACATTAGTCAGTGAGCCTTTGAGAAATGACAGCTCCCCTTCCCTGTCACCATGTCAGAGCAAAGCAAGGACATGACTGCCCGTGAACAAGACATGGATCCTTATCACACATCAACATTGCTGGGACCTTGATCTTGGCCTTGATGGGTACCAGAAGCATGTGTATAAGCACCCTGTTGTTTCTAATACACCCAGCATATGGGATTCTCTCAACCTAGGCAGCCACTTAGCATTTAGACACAGACAGCTTTTTAAGATGACTAAGCCTGCCGGGCGGTGGTGGCACACGCCTTTAATCCTGGCACTTGGGAGGCAGAGCCAGACAGATCTCTGTGAGTTGGAGGCCAGCCTGGTCTGCAGAGCAAGATCCAGGACAGGCACCAAAACTACACAGAGAAACCCTGTCTCGAACCCCCACCCCCACCCAAAAAAAGATGACCAAGCCTAGTAAATCATTGGTGTGACTAAACGCATCCAAATACTGGAAAATGTAAATGATCGGGGAATCAGAGTTCAAGTCCCCAACCTCTCACCCATGAAGGACATTCCTTCTGCTATTTCTAAGGAGATGCTCCTTAGGCCCAACACAGAAAGCCCCAAACTTACAATGGTTAGACTGAACAGTTTTGGAAATAAAACCTTTACAATGGTGTAAAAATGATATACATTTAGTAGAAACTATGTTTCAAAATTTTTAATTTTCATTTTTTGGTAAGATAATCTCTCATGGCACCATGTGGTCACAAGTGTCAGCAAAATGACACTGTATAGTGTTACTAAGCTGTGAGGTCTGGGAGGGTGGCTGTATTCCATGAATTTTTGACTTACATTATTTCCAACTTAGACTAGGGCTGTTGGGCATAACTGCCTTATAAGTTAAGGAGCGTCTGTACTCCCAGAGGAGGGGAGCCTGCTGACCTCACTCACCCTCTTTCCTTGGTCAAACACATTCAAGTGTATCCTGCAAACCCACCTCTGGGCATTGAAGGGACCTGCCCTGGGGAGAGAACCGCGCAGTCCTCTTTGGCACGTGGACTCACTCCAAACCAAGTAGTTCCTCCTCCTGGAACGAGAGTCTCCGTCAGCTGGCAAAAGGGCGGAGACATTTCAGAGCACACTTTCCTAAGGCCATCCTCAGAGGACTGTGAGGAATCTCTGTTGTCGACACCGCGGGAGCAACCCCACTGTTTCCCAGAGCCCTGTGCCTTGACTGTCTGTTCCCTGCATGCTCCACTACAGCCCATCCGTAATGACTGATGCAAGATGTTTAGAGGGAAGCACCACTTAACCAAAGGTGCCAACCGTTCTTCTAAAGAGATGGCATGCCCATCAGAGGGAGAGCTGGGGATCTGTGAGTATACTGTGGAAAGAATCAGAAATATCTCAGTGGCCTTGTGCATTCATAGCCAGGCCTCAGGAAAGTGAACCAAGGCTGTTGGGAAAGTTCTCATGTCTACCTACAATTCTATGTCTTACAAAAAAAATCTAGGTCCCTGGCTTGGAGCAGGTGTGTTGATTAACCATCCAGTCTACAGATTCAGAGGTGGAGACTTGGTGAGTGCCCTCAGCTCCTACAGAGGCAGCTGTGGTTTCTCACTGTGTTGACTCTGTGACTTCTAAGTACCATTATATTTAGTTTAGACAGTCACTGTGGGTTGTGGGATAATCTTTTTGTACACTGTGAAGATGTGTCTCTGCCTAAGGTACCTTCCGATTGGTTTAATAAAGAGAAGAGCTAAATGGCCAATAGCAAGGCAGGAGAGAATAGGTGGAACTTCCAGGGTTCTTCAGTTCAGGCTGGTTGGTCAGTGAGTTCCAGGGATGCAGGGATCACCCTCTCTGCCTCGTCCCTCCCTTCAGTGCTTGGCAGGCCCTCTACTGACTGAGATGTCTCTCCAGCCCTACAACTCACTTTAAGAGACAAACTCATGATGAAAATCATAAGCTGTTGAAAACAGCCTCAGCTCTAAGAGACTAGCACTCTGAGATGCGCTCTGAGATGCAAGGACAGAAAGCTGGAGGCTGGCATGAAGCACTGGGTGTGTCCACTGCAGGAGCCATAGCCCCGCCCACACAGAGTGTTCTCAGCATATCTCACGTAGCCATGCTTTGTGCTGATACCGAAGTTATGTTGCCCGTGTCATGGCTAGAAATGTGTTTAGTGTGAGTTCTGTCAGCTAGGGGTAGAGCAGTCAACCTCAGTCTTCGTGTCCTCTTTTAAAGACAGATTTATTTCATTTCATCTCTCTCTTTCTCTCTCTCTCTCTCTCTCTCTCTCTCTCTCTCTCTCTCTCTCTCTCT